GGCCAGGTGTGACGAAGGCCAGGTGTGATGAAGATAGGGCCAGGTGTGATGAAGGCCAGGTGTGCTGAAGGACAGGGCCAGGTGTGACGAAGGCCTTTGGACCCACGGTTCCCCTCGCTGCTTTCCCCCTTTGCTAGTTCTGGGGCCACCGTGTCCCTGAAGGCTGGGTGCTGCAGGCTGGCTCCACATGGCCTGGCCTTCCCCTGCAGGGCTCAGCATTCTGAGGCACAGGTGAGGAGGGACGGATGTCCCGGGTCCTGCAGGCCTCAGTGGTGCACATGTTCATCCCCTGGAGTCCAGCAGACGGGCTCCTTCAGGCAGCGCCTGGGGCCCGCTCTCCAGCCAGCCTCACGGAGCCGGGCAAGAGGAGGCCCAGGGTCCACTGAGATCTTCTAATGAGCTTCAAATCCCTCCTGTTCCTGTCACCTCAAGAAGGTGTGGCGTGTCCCTGAGCCTCAGTTTCCTCATATGCAAAATGGGAACATCCGAGGACGGTGGCTCCGCGGCTGCCTGTGCGGGCAGCTCAGATGCTGCGCTCCTCCCCAGGGCAGCGTGGCGCTCATGGAGAGGTGGCGGGAGCTCTGTGCCTGTTTTTATAAAACTCAGCCGCTCAGTCTTGAGCCCCTTCAGAAGCACATCCCTCCTGCTGCTGTCCGCTCTGTGCGTCCATCTTAGGAGAAATTCTCTCCCTGAGAACAAAGGAGCTGCCTGTGGTCCATGCTCCCCTCCCGCCAGGCGCCAGCTCTTGTTGCATCCTGGTCAGTGGCTGCTGGGTGGCAGAGAGGATTGACCTGCTCAGTCTGTGGCGGATTCCAGTCTGTTCACCACTGGAGCAAACAGTGCTGTAGAGCAGGTTGGGATTCTCCTATCACCTGGAAAAAATGGTCATTGCCCCGACCTTCCAGGCGGGGTTGGTCCAGGGAGGCGCAGCCCGGGCCTCGTGCACCCCATGGTCAGCAGAGTCGCTGCCGGAGCTCTGGGGCTGGCCGGCTTGCTCTGGACGGGGGAAACCCTGGCGTCTGCACATTTAAAAACCTTCTTATACTCCACCCACGAGCGAGAGGTGCCAGGAACCAGGAGACACCTGAAGTAGTGAGGTCCCCAGTCCAAGGTGGGCTCTTGGGAGCCGCTCAGCAGACGCAGCTGCGAGTCGCCCTGCTGTGTTTGCTTGGGAATAAATAGTCGTAAATAATGCACGCAGTGACGGTGGCGTCACCTCATAGCAGCCCTCCACCAGGTGCTGGGAGCCTACATTTTGACGAACCCTGGGTGACTGTCCCATGCCTCTGTCAGCAGTCTTGACAGTGGCTGGTGGTGGTGCTTTGTGATTGACCGTGGCGATAGGCGACGTTTGCGGAAAACATGCTTCAGAAATGCACAAATGTGGCCCACGCATGTGCTGCTCCTGAGTGGTCTTTCTCTGCAACCGAGTTAAAAGTGGCCATGGTGCTGGCACCACCGGGAGGGGCTGGCAATTTGACGGCTGGGCCAGGCCTGCCTGGTCCCCCCCGCCAGGCCTGCCCCAGGCCTCTTACAGCCGCCATTCCTGCTCAATGAGCCAATCTGAGTTCTGCTCCCAGGACTCCCCTGCCATCAGGGACAGTCCCCGAATGCCAGCTTCCTCTGCTTCCTTCCTACACACGGTTTTCTTGGGCGGAAATAGATCCATCAGGGCTTTGACAGGCCGCGGGAGTTTGCGTGAGGCAAGAGGGTGACCAGGAAGTGTCTCTGGGTTGGTGGTGCCCATCGGGCACTCACAGACTGCAGCGAATGCCAAGGGAGCGCGGGGAGCTGCATCTGCTGAGGGGAAGCAGCTGCATTAGGACGGTGGTGCGCCCCGGGGGTCCCGCGGGCAGCGATGGAGTAGGCGGCCTTCTCAGTGGGGTGGGGAACTCGGTGAGCTCCTCCCGAGGCTCTCTGCAGACCCAGGATGCGCTGGCTTTGTTGCCACTCTTGACCCGCCTGGCCACCCTGACTGTCTCCCCTCCTCTTCCAGTTGAGTTCAGCAGCTGTCTGGGGAGCCAGGGGACGCAGTATGAGACCAACAGCCTGGACTTCAAGGTCGGGGCAGACGGGACAGTCTACGCCACCCGGGAGCTGCGCATCCCCTCTGAGCAGGTGGCCTTCACAGTGACCGCAAGGGACCGCCGGACGGCTGAGCAATGGGACGCCGTGGTGCGGCTGCTGGTGGCCCAGACCCGGTCCTCGCACCCTGGACACAAGGTAAGGGGTGGCCGCATGGTGGGAGGGCCCACAGGAGGGCCCACACCCAGAGTCCAAGCTCCCCGCTGCCCTCATGGTCCTGGGCAGAGCCTCTGCCCAGGCCCCCTGAGCATGAGGCTCAGCAGCTCCATGGCTGTGCCAGCGGAGAAAGCCACACCTCACAAGGGACCCTGGCCTTTACGCTGTCTTGCGGCAGGGCTGCCAGCACAGGCGAGTCACCAGGAGCTTGGTTCACCAAACTGTGCCGCTGCTAGGTGCTCCTTGTGGGGTCTGAAGGAGGCTCCCGTGTCCACTTCCAAATGGACGCTCCACATTCTGTGGCCTGCCTGCCTGGGCGCTGCGCCCACCAGCCCCAGTGGCTCTCAGGGCTAAGGGATGACAAACAGGGCAGAGACCGCGTGACAGGCAGGGGACTGTGGAAGCCGGTGCAAGGCCCATCAGGGGATGGAGGCAGGAAGAGGGGGAGAGGAAGGGAGCGAGCCCGCCACCGTCTCCCGGGTGACTTCACCAGCCATGCCGCGGGGACCGTCTCCCGGGTGACTTCACCAGCCATGCCGCGGGGCCGTCCCAACGGGCCTTTCCTCCAGTGGCGGGGTGGCTTCATGAGCTAGGCCACCCTGAGCCCACCTGGTGCAGACGCCCGGTGCCCGTGAGCAGCAGGCAGCGCCTCGTGGCGTGGGGCCTCAGAAGCCACTAATTGGAGGTGCAGCCAGGGGCTCTCGTGATGGGACGAATCCCTGATGCTCCGCAGAGGGTGCGGGCTCTGGTGGCGACTGAGGTGGGCAGCCTCGGAGTGGGCGCCTTCCAACCCACAGCCAGCTGGCCTGGGAACCGCCAGCCCCTGGGGCAGGGGACGCAGAGCTCACCTCCAGGAACAGAGCAGGGAGCCCTCCCTCCGGGCCCCTGACGTGTGACCCTGGGGGGGGCAGTCTCTGCAGCCCCCCTCCTGCCCCTGGTCTTGGTCTCCTTAGTGGCTGGTGACTTCCTCCCTGACTTTCCCGAGGCCCTGCTTACACCCCCTCAGGGGTCAGGTCCACTAACCCTGACCGTGTCCCTGGAGGCAGGGGTTGCTGACCCACATCACCCCAGGCCCTGGTGGCAGGAGAGAACTGACGTTCGGGGAAGGAGTGAAAGCTCCGTGCAGGGTGGCTGAGCCCAGCACACAAGGGCCCCGCAGCCCAGGCGCAGAGTCCCGTCAAGTCCTCTGGAGGCAGCTGGACGCGGGGGCTGCCTGGAACGTGGGTGGCAATGCTGCATGTCTGTGCAGAGTTGTTGAGGGATGCCGTGGCGTTTGGTGAGGTAAGAAGACCAGCAGGAGTGCCACCAACACTGCCCCAGCCCTCGCGGCCCTGTGCTCCTCACGGCCACTAGCCTGCCAGGGCAGTGCTGGGGACAGGGAGCCAGGGGCTGTTTGGAACCTAGAAGGCCAACTGTGGGACCCCAGGTCACTCTGTGGATACACCCTTAAAGGCATCGATGCCAACCTTCAAATGTCTACTCTGTAAATGGGTGGAGGGGACACCAGGTTCCCAGAGTCCACCTGCCCACCAGGGTGAATGCAAAGCAGGACAACACCCAGGCCTCCAGCCCCACCCACAGTCCTGTGTACACGTCCAGCACTCAGCTGAAAATGCGTGGGTGCATGAGGTGGCCGAGGACCCAGGTGGTGTTGCTGAGGCGGAAGACAAGTAGGGTGCCGTGGAGACACAGGAGGGCCAGGCACTGGGAGCCGCTGAACAGAGGAAAGGCAGGCCAGCTGGGCAGCGTGGCCTCTGCTAGGCGTGAGCGGGTGCTCCAGTGCCCCACAGAACTGTGTGAACTCCAGAAGGGCAGCCAGAGCCCGAGAGAGACGTGGGCACTCCAGCGCCCCAGCTCCTGGCTCCAGAGCACCTGGGCGCTGGTGTTCTCGAGCTTCAGAATGCACACGTTCACACAGGAGGACTCCCGGATGGGACCCAGGTTCACACACAAGATTCCGTATACGCCGTATGTGGGGGGCAGGGAGGTGACTTCACACCAGGGTTCTGCCTGATCCACCACATGGAGCAGGTGTGGAACGCTCCCCTGTGACATGGCGGTGTTCAAAAAGGTCCAAATTCTGGAGCATTTCTGATTTTGGATTTCTGGTATGAAGAATGATCAACCATGTGACACTCGGATGAAACAAAGATACTCGTTAAAAGGGCTTCAGAAATCCACTGAAAGGCCCACAAGACTATGTGAGTTCTGAGATGATACATGGGAAGACTAGAAAATAAAAACTGTTCATGCAGAACATGTAAGAGAAAGAAGAACAGAAGAGATGGACTATATATTCCTCTTTGAATAAAGTGGTAGGTTTACAAATATATCAGTAACTATTGAAAAAGAAAATATATTAACACCTAATTAAGAGCTGATGATGATTTGAATAAAGAAAAATCCAACTATATGGATATAAGACACATGTTTAGTAAAAAGGTATAAGACTAGAAAAAAGATTGAAAGTAAAATCGTTGGAAAAAATACAACACATGTGCCATTAGGAGAAATCTGCCCAGGTGGAAAAGGGTTATGTCATGCTCGAGGGAGAGGAGAAGGGAGGAAGAAATAGGGGCTACTGATGGAAGCTGGTCTGTGAACCCCTGAGTGATCCGAGGAAGGAACAGATGGGCTGGAAAGAGGGCATAGTGACCACACGGTGGACACTGGAGATGGCATCTGACAGTATTATGCGAAATCAGTGCAAATCTATTCTAAACTATCAGAGAATGCACATGGCACGGATCCTAGCCTACAGTCACACGCTTACCAAAGCTTACAGAAGAGAATCTTCACTGTTTTATTATTATAAACCCACAAAAATCCCTATCAGAGGAAAACATCTCCTAGGCTGCCCGGGTGAGCTCTCCCAGGCTTTCAGAAGCAAAAATTAACCCTGCACAAATTTGTTCAGAGAGTTCAAAAAGAGTCACTTCCCCAAAGTTTTGTTGTCCCAAACCGTGATAGGGACCATGTCTCAAATTGGGAAGAGATTTGCCCCAAATGAGCAAGAATGACCTCCAAAATCCAACATGACTGTGTCTAAAGCCAGCTGGAGGCCCATTAATGCTGACAAAAACCAAGTCCAAAACTAGCAAAAACTGTCCAAAAACAACAAGAACCTTTAAAAAAAAGTGGCAGACGATGATGGGCCAGTCTGGCCTGTTAATGAATACAACTCCCTGAGCAAATTATCAGCAAACTTGGATTTAGCTGTTTTCGTAGATTGATGAATCATGACCCAACTGGATTTGCCCAAGAATGGAAGATTGAGTTAATCACTGTGATTCAATGTAGAAAAAAGGATAAAAATTGTGTAGTCCTCTGAATAACAGCTATTAAAATTTCATCTCGATTAAAATAACAATATTCAGCTTTTTAGGAAAACAAAGGGAGCCTTGCATTGTATCACAAAGTACATCAACAGAAAACCTGCAGTGGCCACCTGATCTGCTTTTGAAACATTCAGTCTTCCCTGAGGACCAGCAAGCTGACCAGACAGACCATCCAGTCACACACCAGAGGCCTGAGCCAAGCAGTAAAACAAGAAAAAGAAATCGGGATAAATGAGACTAACAGTACCCAGAGCCAAGAGTCTGCAGTCGTGGGTCAGTTACTGGGATCCATGAGTGAGGTCAGAAGTCGCTGGACATGAACCTGTTGTCTTTCTGTCCATCAAGGAAATCCAAACCATATCCCTGATGTAGGAGCAGTAAAAAGAGATCATGTAATGAGAGTAAATCTGCCTAAAGGTGTGCAGGACCCTACACATGGTGGAGGCAAGTTCAAAAGCCCTTGAAATGGAGGAGCACACCACACCCCAACTCTGAAGGCCAGGAAGACGGTCATAAAACTTAAAAATAGGAGATTCTGCTCATCGGCACACAGATCTAACAGAGTGCCGGGACCCAGGAGAGGGAGGACACTGGCCACATGAGCTGCCCTGCAAGGACTCCCTCTGGATGACCGGAGACCCTCAAGCCACCGGCAGAAACGGACAAGAGACCAGTACGGTTCACAAGGAGGACAGAGCCTTGTGGAGGGCAGGCACAGGCACGCAGCGACCCTCTGCCAAGGCTCAGAGAGGGTGCAGCGTGTGCAAACCCCACTCAGCAGCGGGTGCTCCCACCTCGGGTGACCACAGGTGTGTGGTGACAGCTGTGTGCCCATGGACGTGGGCACTGCCACCTGGGCCCCCTCCCCAAGAGCTGAGAGCAGTGCTTCTCATGGTGGCCCCAACCAGGTGCCACAGTCAGGGCTGCATTAACTGGTGGCTCCATGCAGAGGGACAGTGTGGCAGCCCAGCTGGAAGCCACCAGATGAGGGCTCCTGTGCTCAGCTGAGAAGGGCAGGCAGGCTCCAGGGCGAAGGCCAGCTGTACCCTCACATCCGGGGGGATCTCAACGGGAGCCACACAGACGTGTAAGAGGCATGCAGTGGGCAGCAGGGGCGCCAGGGCCTCCGGGGCGGGGAAAGTCGCTAACCTGCAGCCACGCGGCATTTTATGCACAGGGTTGAAGCAGAGGGCTTCCAGGCTCCAGAAGATGGGTTCAGATGGGGATGCCCAGTAAGTAGGAGCTCTGTGGCAGAAGGTTCTAGAGCAGCAAAGCAGGGCCTAGAGGTGCTCAAGTCCCAGGGCTGCTTTTACTGCAAGAACCACTGAAGCAAATCCCTGAAGGACCGTCACCGGTTCCCTCATTTCCCAGCTCTGTGCCCTTCCTGCCTCCTGCCGAGGCTCCTGCAGGGCAGCCTCCACTCCGTTACTATAGCGACTCTCCGTGGCGCTGGGTAAAGCTGACTGCTCTCCAGCCAGAGGGTCCATGGAAGGGTGGCCCCTCCCCGCCTTCCCCTCCTGGCAGCCCTGGAAGGCAGCCTTTCCATGGTGACACCGCAGGGCTAGGATCCGGAAGAAGTTTTTTGTGCAGTCTTGCAGGAAAGCTGATAGCAATTCAATTAGAAAATGCAAATGAGGTCACACA